TTTTTGTCTCCTCAAAGAGGAAGATCATGGCTAGCAGTTCCCAGGTGTCCTTCTCAAGGTCAGAAAGCAGGCAATGCTCCCTGCTGGAAACACAGAAAACCTCCAGCCCAGCCCAGTGACTCTTCCAATTTTATAATTACATGAAATTACCAATAAAAGGCTTTTGTGCCATAAAACAGTGTGAACTTATCTACCTCCTGAGCATATTTACAATCAACAGCTTTAGAGTATCAATTAAATTCCCCACACATTACTTCAGCCTCTTTTTAAAACATCCATACTTTATGACTTCGTATACTCAGGGCAACAACAGAAATTATCCTTTAATTAAACAAATCAACCCTGTACTTTTCCCGAGCATTGTGAACACCCATACATCAATTGGAGAAAAGCCTAACAAGATTTGTGCTTTTTCCAAAAGAGTCTTATTCAACTTTTACCTATTATTCCTGATGGTAATAATAATAACAGTCCCTTATCTGTTTATATACCTTCTAGTTATAAAGCTTTTTTTTTTGAGTGATCCTTTACAATTTTGCTGCAAGGTGGGTACTGGTGGGACTATTTACTTACTTTACCTTTATCTGAGCAATGGTACCTTGCAGTAATGAAAGATGTATACACGGTGATGTGCTCTGTATTATATCTTTTCTAGATATTTTATCATTTAAACTTCCTCAAGCCTGAGGAAAAGTGAAGTGTTTCTCACTTCTACACATAAGGTACTTTAACAACTTGTCAGAGGTCACATAGCTGGTTCGTCGTGAGATCAGTACTGAAACATCTGCTCTCACAGCCTACTGTCTCTAGTCTTCTTGACAAAGCCAGCTTTTCATTAAAAATTATTTTCTTGACAGTGACAATTGTCCACTACATTGTGGCCATCCACTCATCTATGATTTATTTAACCAGGTTTGGTCAACATTTCTTGTGTTTGTGTTATACGAGATAGTTTCTCTATTTAAAAAGTTTTTAAGCTAAATCTCTAAGTAAGGCCTTATCGTTCTTATTTGGTAGAAGAATTTGCCTTTCATAAAGACTGCCTTGCTCTAAGCTGCTAAGTAATGCTTAGATTTGAATCTAGAACTGTCTGACTTCAGAGCCTGTGTTCTTTCTGTTACATAGGACAATAAGAACATTTGAAATGGAAGTGCCTAGACCTTAGGGAACTGAGACGAGCTTTTCTCTGGCTTTGCTTCCACTTTGTAACTCTTCTGTGGTAAATGAATCATGGCCTGGGAGAAGCTAGAAGGAAGATTAGATCTTCTTTAAAGCTGCTACCTGTGGAGCAATAGAAGAGACTGACATGAATGGAGGCTGGTGTCTGCCATATTTAAAGGGAAAGGCTTCAAGAATGTTCTATGGTTGGAAAGGTGGTTTAGGGGATGGAAAGAGATGGTCAAAGAGGTGAAAGAAATGAGAAAAAGTAAGAAAGAAAGAATGAGAATGAGGCTTTTTGAAGCAGGAAGCTTCGTGAGTCAAGATGAATCAAGGAATCAGATCCAGGGTGTTAGAGGTCAGGCCAAGCAAGCGATTGCTTTCATGGTTTCATTGGGGCCTAGAAATAAAAACCTCATCATTGTCCAAACACAACACTAACATGAAGGTAAAATAATTTATCCTTCAATAACAGGCTGACCTATTCAGAATTGTAATTTTAATGTAAGACTAACCTTTGAAAATAGATCAAGTGATATAAATTATTAAGGAGAAGACATTCATCAGCTAAATGGTGTCTATTAGTAACTTTATGCATGAAGAGTTATCTCCTGAAGTACAGTTGCAGCTGCCTCTGCAAAGAAAAGAAATGAAGAACCCAGTTACCCTTTCGTGACATGTTCAGCTGATTTTCATCAGTATTTCTCCTGTCAAATGAAATGAAAGGGCTGAAATATGATCTCTCCTGTGGATGTACACTTGCTGGCTTCCTCCCACATGCTTCTAGGCAGCTGTGCTGGAGCTTTCGTGGTGCTGAGAGAAAAATGGAGACACTCATCTCAAGCAGCTTCTTTTTCCTTTAGTAGATGAAAATCAGTTGGTCAAAGCACAAAATATTTATGCAGACTTTTCTGGAACTAGGCTAAGTGTTACGTGGGGGAGTGGGAAGGCTGGTCCTCAAGAACTTCAATGTTAAGCCATGGTGTAATGTCAAGTGAATCACCTCGGTTAGACTAGCTGAAGCAAAGTGAGTTAGGATTAATTGCCAAACTTCTGTGGGCCTCAGTTATTTTACCTGTAAAGTAGGGATGAGATTATGCCCCAGCTCATGGAATTATGAGGGTTCTGACTGATATTCAGTTATGTGTGGAAGTATGAGAATAGCTGTCACTCTCTGTTCTCCCCTGACTTCAGTTAGGATGGGTTCCTTTTCTTTCTGCACCACCATCCTGCGTCATTCCTTTAGGCATTCAGAGGTCTCCTTTCTCTCAAGAAGTTGTAGAGTGATGGTAAGTACCCCATGTTGGTGAGGAAGAGGTCACACCCATGAGGTGAGTTGGATGGAGACAGCCAAGACTCAGGGCTCTGAGGGGTGTTGTTCTTGCTGATGGGAGGCCCCCCAACTATGAGGGCAATATAGGAAGAAAGTCTGTGGCACTGGTGACCTGGAGCTCACCTAGACAGAGCCTGGGAAGCCAGTGAGTGCTGATTTGACCCCTCAGTGTTGAGGGCTCCCAGGCCAGTGCTTTCTCAGGGAAAGCTTGATAATCCCTCTCAGAGGTGAGGACTCTATGAGCACCCTCAAGTGGCCTTGCCAGGTCCAGGCCTTCCAAAATGCAAGGCTCTGTGGCTTCCTCTTTCTTGGATCCTGTCCACTCTTTTGTCTTTTCTCAGTCCCACTGTCTTCGGACAATCACTAGTTATAGCAATTTCTCTTTCAGCTTTGGTTTCTTTCTTTCTTTTTTTGATGGGGATCATGCATTTTGTTCCTCATGTTTCAGGGTTTTATTTGGCTCTTAGGACTTAAAGTGTGCCATAGAAACTCAGAAAATGTCTCTGCTCTCTTGCCCTGCCAGCCATTCTGATGCACAGAACACTTTGGAGTGGAGGATTCTGGGAGTGGTGTGCACAAAGGGTGTGAAGGATTCTGGGAAAGGCACTGTCCTTTGAAATCCTGTAATATAAAACTGTTCGTCTCCTTCCTCTCTTTTCCTCCCCATCATGATGTAATGAAGCCAGTTTTAACTGAAAAGTAAGGTATATGGACAAGTTAAGAGGTGTCAGTTATGTTTTTAGGAGACAGACATTGACAGTGGGCTAGGATCTCATGTGGTTGGTACCTGCTGTGGAAGGAGAGGAAACACATGGACCAGGAAAAGCTGTCAGATGAGAGGGTCCCAAGGACATCCATGGAAGAAAGAGAGGAAGCAGAGTTTTGGAGATCAGCAGCCTCAGGCCACGGTGACATCCACAGAGTCACGAAGTGTCAGAGCAGAGGTTCCATAACAGTCCACATTGAGCAAAATAGCTATCTGGGTTTTTGTCCTCATGCTAACTTCAGAGGTCTGGAGAAAGTACAGCCTTGTCTCAGAGCTCAAGCGGACTCTGCAGGTGTTACCAATGTAGACTGCCAGCCAATGGCATTGTTCCTTTGCAGAGTGGCAAGTTCTTTGTAGAAGGGGCTTCCACTTGTGGCGGAATGTGGCTGTTGTTCCTACCCATGGCCATGTGAGCATCAGGAAGGGGAAGAGCTCAGAACAGGGCCAGGCCCTGGAGTAATGAATTTGGACCTCATGTTCTGTCTGTGCTACCTTAAAATTTACAAGAGAAACTTCTTCTTGATGGTATATAAGTATAACAAAAAGGACAGTGACTATTTAAATTAAAAATTTATTATAGAAAAAGACACATTGCCACTGACTGTCCTCACTCCCCCCTATTTGAACATATCTATCCTGTCATTCTTGCCAGTTTCTGAAGCAGGCTTGTTTCATGGGTGTCAGTAGTTATGCTGTCATAGGTGTTGTGATTTCCTCAATCCATTCCAAATGTTTGCTTTTCATAGTCATTTTGACTGCTAAGGAACTAGCCAGATGTCTCCTCGTGTGAGATCTAATGAGTGAGGTGGGTGAAGAGATGCCAAAATGCTTTTGTTTGACAGAAATTGCTGTGTTTTGACTGATTTGAAGATAACAGTATGCAACATAACAACCATTGTTGAGTTCCTATCATTTTATTTGGTGAAATTCTGTGTTGTTTATAATTTTTTAAAAATATTTTTTATTCTTTTCAAAAATTACAAAAAAAAAAAGAATAAGAAATTTGCTATCTTTTGAGTTGATTGAGGACATCAAGGTAGACAAGACAGGATGACCAAAAATGCTCATGAGTGAGGGCTTCCAGAACTGCTTCAGAAAGAGGCAAGAATGATGGATAAGTGTGTTCAAAGCCAAGGGGAAGGCCAGGGAGATAGCTCAGTGGCATAGGCATCTGCCTATCAAGCACAAGGTCCTGAGTTCAGTCCTTGGTAGAAAAAAAAAACAACAGAAACAAAAAGCAAAGAGTTTTTTAAAAAGGGAAATAATGGTACAGTGTCATTTGTTATAATAATTAAAAAATTAAAAACATGGTAGTTTTGATCTTCCCTCTTATGTATAGCTAAGTGTTAAACTTTATCTTGTAGGCACAGGTCACTGCTCCATAAGATATTTGAGAGACACAACCAGAAGTTCAAGTTAAAAAGGAATCTCTGTAGCCTCAGTTAAAATTGTTTGATTTGCCTGGTTTTCCTGGTAGAACTTCAAACCATGGCCTGCTACATATTCTGAGCGTGACCCACTGTTAGGTCAAAGCAAAGCTTTCTGGCCAAACAGGTGCATTTAGTCCTGAGGTTTCCTGGAATTCCCCTCTGGCTTCAGGCCTGTGGGTGGCAGGATGTGCTTTCTCCTAATCATTTGTGTCATTAGTGGATGACTTCTGAGGGTCAAAAGTCATGACCCAATACATAACTGAAGTGTGAGGTGCTTTGCATGGCCAGCTTAAAGGCAGTTGGTGAAGGGTTG